TAGTTTTGCTGTGGCCCTTTGTGGTGGACTCCAGCTTAGATGAGGAGGAAGAGCTCGTTTCAGAGCTATCTTAGGAGTAGTATAGGGAGCATCAGGGAAAGCTCTGTGCCCGAGGCAAGACATAGTAACAGTGGAGAATAGGACGATTGTGGTGAAGCAATTCCTAGAATGTTGGAATCTGGGAGAGAGAGGCTTGGCCAATCCAGAGAGGTCTTGCAGCTGCAACCAGTCAGCGTGGATAAGGAGGAGTTGCTGCCTCTTCCCAATCCAAGGACATGCAAGGCCCAGAGGAGAAGGGCGCAGTAGAGATCGGTGAGATTAATCACAAGGAGATAGCCTCACCCCTTTTAATGAGGTGCACTGGTTGGTGCCTACTTAATTAGGATCTTGAACTTGGTTGGTGTTGCAGGAGACTACTCATACTCTAACTCACCATGAATGTTTGGAACCCTTTTGTTCTTTGTTGTATCTTGGACCTGTTGGAGTCGTGCTTGCCTTTGTCCTACTTTAACTCAGTGATGTCATGTTTGCCTTCGTCTGGCTTCAACTCATTGGAGGCATGTTTGCATCTGCCTTGCCTGAACTGATGGGAGCTGTAGTTACTTTTGTTGAGCTGTGATCCAACGGGATTAGGGCTACTCTCAGGTGCTGTGACTTGAATTAAATAGAGCATCTTATGTAGAAATCTGGGGAAAGTTCAGGGTAACTTTCAATATAAACTTCTCCAAACTTGATCGCAGAAAGTACGACTTCAGCAACAGAGCGGTCAATGCTGGAATGCACTACCTGACTCTGTTGTTACCTCCTCTAACCCCCACTCCTTTAACCTCAAACTATCCACTATTGACCTCACCCCATTCCTAAGAGGTCTGTCAGGGGCCTGCATAAGTGCACAATCGTGCCAATCGTCTCTGTCCTTTTGTCTCCATTTACTCGTACCTATTTCCTGTATTCTTACTCATGTTTATACTGATACCTATTATCTTGTAAGCGATTGACAAATCAAATAAATAAATCAAATAAATAAATAAAATAGTTGTATAAACAAACATAGTTAACTCCTTATAGCGTGCATGTGCTTGCGGACTGGGGCAGTACACCCTTAATGAGCACCCAAGTTTCTGAAGGATTTGATTTCGACACCCTTCCCAGGGGAGATTATAAGCAAAATATTGTGAAAAAACTCTCTTGTAATTTCTGTTTTATTTTTGTTTATTTTTCTACTGCTTTCTTGTTCATCTTCTGCTATGTTTCATTATTATATGATGTCCATGATATTCATGGCACCTAATACTGACCATTCATGTGTACCAACCTAATTTATGCTGGAACATCTGATGTATCAGATAAAACATGATTTGAAGAATAGTATGTTGTACAGTTGATTTGAGGGACATAGGTAACATCAGAAGCCAAGACAATGAAGTAGATTTCTTTCAGTACATTTCAATATATAAATAGTAAGTATACACTAGAAACATAGCTATTAGAAAAAAGTTGAATATCTAGTCATAAGGCAGCCAATGCAATTTTATTTTTCCTTCAGTTGCTTCCAATCCTCTGCGCCCCACTGGTTATCACTTGGCAAGGTCAGTCTGTCAATAACAGCACCTCTGAGTTCTAAGAAACTCTTGTTCATGATGTCAATGATTGTATCTCGCCATCTTATCTTCTGTCAGTTTCTTGATTGCCTTTGATTTTTCCAAGCATCAACATATTCTCCAATAACTCTTGACTGCACATTATGTGTCCAAAATATCTCAACTTAAGCCTCCAATGAATAATCTAGTTTCCTTCGTCTAGTATTGAATGTTTTGTTCTTGCTGCAGTCCAAGGTCTTTTCCCACCATTTTCTGCAGTGCCACACAATTCAAAAGCATTGATTTTCCTTCCTTCGGCCTTTCTAAGGATCCAGCTTTCATAGCCAAGTGCTACAGTTGGAAAACCTACAGCCTTGATAATACCTACCCTGTTTCTCCAACAATACGGCCTCCCCCAATAGGAAGTCCCAGCATGTTTTATAGGCATGAAATGAAATTAAGCCCCTCCCCCCAAATTAAGGCCTATATTAAAACATGCGAAATGTGGGGGAATGGTGGGGGGGGGGCTTGCTATTAGGAAGTACTTTTGTTGCACACCCGGATATGGTGCTGCCTGCGTTGACCCCGATACGAAGTGCCCCACCAACACCGAGGTCAACATCCAAGCCGTCGCTGCCCACCCGCCCAAAGATGCAAGGGGGGGGGGATTAAGTCACTCCCGAAAAGACAGCCTAGCCATTTTTTCAGGGCTCAAAAAAAAATAAGACCCGGCCTTATTATATGAGAAACATGGTATCTTTGTTATCAATATAACATTTCTGCATTTCAATATTTTGTGCAGATCTGTCAAAAACTTTCTCCTAGGTAGCAAAGATCTTTTTGTTTCATGTCATCAGTCTTCTGATTTTTTTTTAAAAATGGTCAAAAAGATAAAAGTCTTACTATTGTTTCAAGTTCTCTGTCTCTTGGCTTTGGTTTGGCATTGCTACTCGCACAATCTTAGCTTTCTTTTTAAATATTTAATGCTAAAGAGCCAGCCAGCCTTGAAGGCTCTTTTTTTTATTTTCAGCATGAGCTTCCTTAAATCTTATTTACTGTACTCTAGTCATGAAAATTATATTAACAGCATATCTGTGGTTATTAACCTTAATTTCTACTTCTTTTAGTTAAATATTTCTAATGGTATATTTTTTAATAAATCAGGTAAATAAGCTTACAGCAAACAACCCTGGTACAGGTAGTCCTCAACTTATAACAGTTCATTTAGAGACCATTCAAAGTTACAAAGGCACTGAAAAAAGGGACTTATGACAGTTTTTTCACAGTTATGACCTTTCCAGCATCCCCATGATCACGTGATCAAAATTCAGGAGCTTGGCAACCAGTTCAAGCTCAGGTGATCTCCTTTTGCAACCTTCTGACAAGCAAAGTCAATGGGGAAGCCAGATTCACTTAACAACCAGATTACTAACTTATCAACTGCAGTGATTCACTTAATAGCTGTGGCAACAAAGGTCGTAAAATGGGGTAAAACTCATTTAACAAATGTCTCACTTAACAATAGAAACGTTGGGGTCAATTGGGGTCATAAGTTGAGGACTACCTGTATATCATTTCCCAATACTGAATCAATTAATGCTGTTCTGTTATCACAAAGTCTTCAGTAGCAAATGAGATATACCTATTATACTCACGTTTGTAAGGACTATTTAAACTAGATAATGAGTTTAAATTATTCCCAATCTTCCTTCTATATTACTGAAGAACTGCACGATCATATTTATGTAATCATCAGAGGAATGTTTTTACTTTTATTATTATATTAAGACTTGATTACTGTGATACTCAGAGTTTCTACTACTGTCTCCAGTGACAAATACATAAATCTAGCTAATTGATTTACATGCTGTTGATCACTAAGTTGGTATTGATTTTTCCTGATCAGGTAGATAGATTTTCTCCATCATGCCCTGTCTCTAAGCTGGTTTTTTAAGTCTTCCAATGATATATATGCTTTCCCTTATTGCACATTTATTGGTCATTATTTTTCATAGATTTTGAATATGTAAATTTTGATACCTCATTTTTCCAACCCTGAGTTCCTTTTCTTGCATTCACTATATTCAAAAAGCAAATTTCTTATGAAAACAGGCACATATTTTATGTATAATTCTATCCAAACTTTTGCAGGCAATTTGGCTTACTTAAGGTTTTGTTAATGTAGTTTTACAAAATGTAAATAGTTTGCTTCTATTGATGAATTTGAAAATATTTCTTTATTTTATGTATTACTATCTTTTTTTTTAAATTTTCCCATTCTTTTTATGGTGGTAGTGTGAACAGTTCAGAAAAACTAACTGAATGATAACTGCATTGTTTATTCCTGATTTAGTTTGGCATATTCAAATTAAAAACATTACATTAATATGGGAACCAAACCAGTTTCTTCTCCGTTACTTGTATCAGGTATATAGTATATAGAATTTAGGAACTATATTATTATTGATGAGTTATTTGTCCTGTTTAACAGAAAAAAGTGTATGAAAAGAGTAGTAGATAAAACTAAATGCCAGAACCGGACTATTAGGTTCCAATACAGGTGGTCCTTAACAACAATTTGTTTAGTTACAACGGCACTGGAAAAAAGATTACTTATGATCCTTTCTCACACTTACAACTGTTGCAGCATCCCCATAGTCACATGATCAGGATTCAGATGCTTGGCAACTGGTTCATATTTATGACAGTTGCAGGGTCCTGGGGTCATATGATCCCCTTTTGCAACCTTGTGACAAGCTAAGTCAGATTCACTTGACAACCTTAGCACTAACTTAATAACTGCAGGGTTTCAACAACTGTGGTAAGAAAAGTCATAAAAGAAGGCAAAACTCACTTAACAAATGTCTCACGTAACAACAGAAATTTTGTGCTCAGTTCTGGCCGTAAGTTGAGGACTACCTGTATAGTGGTTCTTAAAATTTTTGACTGAATTCCCCTTACCTCCATCTTGAATAATGTCATTTCTCTCTCCTTCTCCTTATCTCTCCGTCTCCCCTCCCCCCTTTTCCTTTTTACACATAGCCACCCACCCACCCACTCCTACCCCCACACCAGACATTTGTTATTTTTCATAAATATCTCCACAGAGGCAACCCTATATGGAAACCTTGATTTACACACAGTATATTACAAATTGCTCCATTACTCCCAGAATATACCCAAATTAACCTGCATCCATCTTGCAAAGGGCTTGTAACATATTATAGTACTTAATATATTTCTGTAGATCTGCCGTTCTGTATCATATTGTAATGGAGGAGCAATTTATCTCTCCGTTTTCCCATTTCCAGGTCAGACAACTGCTATTTGTACGCCTATTATAAAAATAAGAAAATAATATACTACCATAGTAACGTTTCTCTCTTCCTCTTTTTTTTCTGTCCCTTTTAATAGTTATATTGCAAACCAGCGGGATTTAGAAAGCATAAATGAAATAGATGTTGGATTGTACACTGGATTAAGAAATTTGTGAGTATATATTCTAATTTTAATCTAATTTATTATAAATGACATATTTTGCCAGTTTGTGTAAGCTTTATAGTGGAATGTACTGAGGTCTTACTTGGGCCATTGTCTTCATTTATTTCATTTAAATGAAGCAACTCTGTATATTCATGGATGCAATTCATGAAGCTAAGAATAATGGGTAATTATAGCAAATAGAAAATTTTATCACATGCATTACAGATTGTTGAATTGGGGAAATAAAATAACAATTCTTAAACCACAATTTATTCTGAAATTCCTTGAGCTATATGCTATACTCTCCATAAATACATGAATGGATGATACATCACTCTGTCATTGTAACTTGTGTTTGTGTACTTTTACAGAACTGTGGTAGACTCAGGCTTGAAGTTTGTCTCACGCCAAGCTTTCCTGAAAAATATTAATCTACAGTACATGTAAGTGAAAACCCACTTTATTACTTTAGAACAAGCAGGATAATTTAATTACCAGTGGGGACTTAAAATATTGTCTTCCATACTATATTGCTGGATTCAAGCTTGTGGCTGGTTGCCACGTTGTAGAATATATCACTGTTGTTGTTCAATCGCTAAGTTATGTCCAACTTTTCCTGATTCCCATGGACCACCTATCACTGTATACAAGAACAAAAAGAATCTGGAAAAAGACAAATATATTAGGGGCAAATAATTTTTTAAACTTCTTGGTTATTGGTGATTGCCAATCAATGTGCATCTTCCCCCCAAACAGTATAATATAGTATACTCAGGCACCGCTCCTCCCATATATGTTTCTTACACAGATATACACACTCAGTTACAAAGGTATTGTGCCCATTGCAGTGGTACTGGGTATAATCCACTTTTAGTTGTTATGGAATGCAAGCTGGATGATGTATCGGAATTCCAGAAGTTCATGTCTTCATATGGACTTCTGACTGACCATTATAAGATTAAGTTGACTAGAAGACCCTTTGAACTAAACCAACAACTCTCTTCTGGCTAATTATGTATCTGTCTCCTGGCCTAAAATCCTCCTCCCATTTGAGAGTATTATAAATTGCTAGAGCTGCACATGGCAGCCAATCAATACATACTCATTTTCCTTTTCTGTTGTTCAAATGACATTTTCAGCAAAATGGTTAGACAGTTTGCTGCCAAACAGATGGCAGTGGACTGTCCAAGTTTAGTATTAGAAGGAATTAGAAGGAATGATGACTGGAAAATATCCAGCTATTTTTGGATACATATTGGAATGTTGTTTTAAATAAAAATATGATTTACTGATCTTGATCTTTAATGTAAGTAATTTCCACTGTCAGATAATAGCAAAAGGCTAACGATCTTACATAAGTGACTTTGAAAGTTCTATGTTTAGGGACAAATAGCTACTAAGGAACTATGTGGTGATTCATTTACAAAATTCACTTCTATAGAAATATCTCATCCATTAGAAAAGAGGAGGATATTGGATGAGTAGAGAGGTAAGCAGAGGATGGAAGAAATGTGTTTTTGATTATCAGCTATCCAAGATTGTTGTGACAGTGTACACATGCTATTCCATTGGCTATTGAAGGGTGTGTGTGTGTGTGTGTGTGTGTATATATATATAAATAAATATCCATAAATATATATTTATATATATAAATATGTATAAAATAAAGAATACTGATAGAACTTGCTTTCATTGGAAAAAGTATGATGTCTTTTAAAAAAAAAACTTTGCTTGTTGGGATATGAGTTAATTTACATTCTCACAGCAATAATGTACATTAATAATTTCCTCGTGTCTTCTCTTAACAAGAATTTGGCATGTTTGTGATTTAGAAACTTTCTTTCTTTAGAAAATAAACATAAGACATAAATTATATGAACTTCCATGTTTTTTTAATATAAAATATTTGGGCTTTAATCAACTAAGATCTTTTTAATTCCATTTAAAATACCTTTAAATATGATATGCTACAATATAAATAATTTTAAAATATCAATACTAACAGACATATTCACCAACTTTATGTATCAAATTCTAAAGAACTTTAAATAAAACATTTTTATAAACATATTTGCCTTTTATCCCGTTACCCAGGTGAAATTTATGTAGACAAAATGGCTGTTTTTAGCTGTTGTATGATTATAAAAATCAGTAATATTATAAACAGAAGAAATTAAATATTTCATAGTTGCTATCTAAATGTAAACTGTAACATCATAGCAACATTCTAATGGAAAAATCCGAAAATCTTTTCTATATTTTCAAGAAATATCACTGCATCTTGCTGTATACTCTTCTATTGTGCAAACATAATACATAATATTTTCTATTTCTTTTGTTACTTATGCATAGGCTGGCCCATGGTATCATAAGAGGAAAAAAATCAGCAGGAATTTTTATTGACATTTGCTTGGTCTGCTTTTGCTGTTTCTACAATATTAAAATAAGACAAGTATATATCCTAGAGCAAGAGTGTCAAATTCGATTTCATTGAGGGCCGCATTAGGTTGTGTTTGACCTTGGGAGGCTGGAGTCGGGCGTGCCCAGGGCGAGCTCCATTTTTGGCCCTGACAGCCTCCTGCAACCCTCTGCCAATGAAAATGGAACTCTATTTTCGCTGGCAAAGGCACTGCGGGTTGGTCTTTTGCTGTTTCCAGGGCAGATCTAAGCACCTGCAGGCTGGATCTGGCCAGTGGACCTTGAGTTTGACACCCCTGTCCTAGAGGGAATAATAAAATTTCTGTTTGTGGAAGAAAAAGGATAATGACAAGAAGAAAAAAGTTTCCTGATGAGAAACAGGTTCTGAATAGAGGACAACACTGGATTAGATTGCCTTTAGCCAATGCAGCTGAAGGTGTAGCTTTAGATTAACCTTATTGTCCATGTAAGTTGAACAATCAATTCACATGAGAGATGTATCTTGGCAAAACATGTCATTATAGCTTTGGCATAGGAACTTCACTAGAAATTAATTATCTCACTACAAATATACTATGTTCACCAATAATTGGGCATACTGACTGAGAAATCTGTGAATTGTAGTAAAAAACATATGGCTGCCTCTAGAATGGTAAAGGTTAAGAATCTTTAAGCATTTTACTCTCTTCTTAAGATATAAAACAAAGAGAATTTTTGTTTTTAGCTAACAATGTTGCTCGTAATGTAGAATCCTAGAAACATTGGTTAATTTTCAGTATAGTTTAGAGTAGGAATGGGCACCTCATTGGTTCTATGTATTTCTTCAATTTCTTCAATCCACAATGATTACTGAAATTTGGTGGCAAATCAAGAAATGGGAGAGGCAACGCTTTCAATTGTTTTCCAGAAGAATTAAAGAAAAAGAAGAAAAAAGGTGTTTTAGGATAGACTTTAAGGAAGTAAGAACTATTCTCCTGCTCTATTCATGTGGCATTATTATGTTATGGATGAGTTCAGAAAATTTTCTACCAGGGACATAGTGATAACTATTAGTGGCACACTATTACATAGTGGCACACTATTACTATACTTTTTTAGTATGTACGTATTGGATATTTGACATTCTTCACATAATTGGCCCTGGCGTAAAACAAAATGCAGGAAACTACTGTTGTATACTTAGGGTAGGTGGTTCTGGATTGAAAAAAAAATTAGACAAGCACCACTTGGCAACATTTCTGATTTTTATTGTGGCAGGGAGCCTATATATTAATCAGTGAGAATATATTTTCTATGTAAAATAAAAAGAAAGGTGCTGCTGGTATGGAAATCTTTTTATTTTATCCAATTTAAATATTTTTAGTAAAGGAGTGCCTCCCACAGTGTATGTGATCATATGAATATAGTCAAGAGCAAGAATGCATTTGATTTTCATTGTAATGAAAGATGCTAAAGTGTATTGCAATATAGTATGGTAAATACTTAATTGAACTGAAAAGCTTAATGACTTCATGTTACCATTTTTCCATGATGTTTGCTGTGAACACACAGTTTAAAAAAGTATTTTTAAAAAGCCTGTGATGGAGTTGTTTGGGATATAGTCAGGGTTTGGAAAAGTAAAACCTTTGATGTAAGATCAAAGACAAAATGGTAAACATCTATTTGCTTATGAATAAATTGAGCGTTTAGTCAACATCTGAGAACATCTTTGGAGTAAAACTCAATCCAATGTTTTTTCCCCTTCACTTGAACTGAACTGTTTTAAGGTACATGTTGCAATCAGTGTTTATCTGTGCCCAGTCTAGATGTCAAGCTAGGATACAATCTGTATCAGTTTTGGAGATCATCAGAGTTGTTTGACAGAGTTTAACTTCCTGGGATGTGTCTCTCAAAACTCTCGTTTCCTCATTTTAATTATGACACTCTTTCTTTACAGTAACTTCTCCAGAAATAAGCTTTCAAGTTTGTCCAGGAAGACTTTCCGCCATCTGAATTTGACAGATCTGTAAGTAATTCCTTTTCTGAGAAATCAAGTTGTTGTTATAATGAATGTTTATTAGCATTATTACCAGGCATAGTATTTTAGTATTTAGATACTAGCAAGAAAACATTTAAAGTTTATGTTTCTAGGAAAACTAAAATTTGTTTTACAGTACGGTGTGTTTTTAATATGTGTGTTGGTATATGTGTGTATTTAACATATGGGATACAGTCCAGGGAACATATAGTTGAGGGCCTCTTGTGGCTACTCTTCCAAGCATCAAAATAATTTTGTGTTTAGGCTAACCACATTGGAGCAAGAATATTTTCACTTTACAGCTAGTCCTGGAGTTTGCTTCAGTTACTATGCAAACTAATGGTTCCTTAACTCTGAACTAGTCATTAGTCCATGTTTGGATAGTATGAAAAATTACTACCAGTCCAGGTAAACAAAGAACAACCCATGATTATAGACTGAAGATAATAGGTAATCCTAGGGTTCCAATCACTAATTCAATGACTGTTCAAAGGTTCAGTGGTGCTGAATTAGTGGTACTTATGATTAGTCCTTGAAGTTATACTTTTGCAGCCCCATGACAGACACATGATTTGGGCAGTTGGCAACCAGTTCTCACGTACGAAGTTTGCAACAGTCACCATTGGGGCCCTTCCTGATGGCTTTTCATAAGGAATGTCAATGAGAAAGCTGGCAGGGAAGGTTGCAAAACATTCCTCTAAGTCAACTCCTGCTTTTTCTCCTGAGGATCCACATTAACGAGTAAGGGATTCCAGGGATCTCATACTCCATAGTGCCTGCCCAGAGCACACCCCTCTTGTTTGCATTCCATAGCTCATACCCACCTGGCTATATTTGCACTGTAGCACTTTGCCCTCTGTTTGCCTGGTTGAATTCGTACTGGGTCAAAGCACCACCTCACACCACCTCACACCACTCTGCAGCACTCACTCCGCACCTGCATTTGTGCTGCACTGTGGCACCACCTGTGCACCTGCTGCAGTCTGTTATTGCTAACCTTCCTACTGAGCTACACTGATACCACACTGCAGCATCCACTGCCTGCTTGTCTAGCTTCACTTGTGCCTTATTGCAACACCTACTCCCCCGCCTGGCCACTATCATTTGTCATATAGCCTAACATCCATCTAGCCAGTTAAAAATAAAAAAAAATTAAGGTAGTAGAAATCAATCTGGAAATCTATAGAAATTCATGGGAGTCATCTTGCTAGGTTGTTTTCTGTTTCTGACCAGAACTACCATGGTGCCTGTGTCATATACTTAAAATTTCAAATTTGCTCCTTGTCCCAGAAGGATCAGAATCTAGCTGCAAGTTTGGTAGTTAAAACTCTTCCTTTGTATCCTCCACAATACCTGTTCAAATCCACTCGTTTTTCCTTGCACAACAGAAGTGTTATTATCCACTGTATTTCTACAGTTAATTTCACAAGTGTCATATTTATCAGATAGGAAGATATTTTTCCTAAACAATTAGAAATCAAAGCATATTCATATAGGCCAAAATTGTAGCAATTATTTTTTGTAAACGGGCTACTGTATTTTATAGACAGATAATTGTAAGTTATTAATTCCATTTATTTTCTGGACACACACACACACACACACACACACATGTATGTATGCATGCATGTATGTATATGTATATGTATATGTATATGTATATGTATATGTATATGTATATACACATATATATGCACAAAAACATATTAGCACATTCATCCATTTACTGGAGAGGGAGAAATCTCCAGATTTGGAAGCTATTTGTGGAGTTTCAGATGCAGGTTTGCTTTATTTTGGGGGTAAATACAATATTCTGTGATGTGAGAAATAAATTCTGAAATTTTGTTCCCACTCTTTTCCAATTAAAGTGTAATTGAGCTGAGAATAGAAATTGTTTGGTATATACTGAGATTTACTTGCTTTCTTTTCTCCTATACACCACAGAAAGCAACTATTGTTTCTCCAAAACAGGTGGAAATAGATTGCTTAACATTTTCAATATATTAGCATAAATTTGTCAAACCTACAAAACTCTCTCTTTGATCTGAATATTTATTTGAGCTGATCTACTCAGACAGCTTCAAAAACATCTGAACTGCTGTGAATTTTCTATGAGATTACATTGACAGAAGGATCTGGAAGACCAAATCAAATGTTCTGCCTGTAGATTGTTATAATTAGCGCTGGATTGTTTCATCTTAATAAAATGTCTTAGGGGCAACAAGTGGTACATCAATGAATTAGCTCATGAAATATAGGTTTTGCTTTTATGAGCAAAGCTGAGATAATGCTCCTTGCATGAGCCAGACATCTGGACTTTTTGCTGTTTCTTTTTTATTCTAGCTTCTTTATATATTAAGTACAAGAAATACTTTAAGTACCTAATTAAACAGGCTTTCCTGGAGGTGCTAATTTTAAGTGGGTAATAAAGATTCCATTTTAATTCCTCAGTGTGAGCTTATATGTTCTTCTAAGCCTTAGAGCCCAGTATGTGTTGTTGTTGTCTTAAATGTTAGTTAAGCCATTTTTGCATTTGTTCCAAGGGTGTCATAGATGATTTCTTTTTCAAGCCTTTGCATCTTTTGCTTGAAATATATTTCTGTGATGTTTGACCATAAGGGGGAGCTCAGTTTATCCACAATAATAGAAAACATCTAAAACTGTATTATGGGACACTGTATACTGAGAATTAAATATGATTCTTGTTCATGGTCCAGTATAATTTTTTTTTCTACTGAATTGAAGAAAATGGCATTCTTTTCTTCCTAGTCAAGACCAGATTTTTGAGCTGCAACTTTAACCCTAACCCTGCTTCTCTCCAAATGTGTCTAAACTAGCAACACTGGCTAAGAATTTTAGGAATTGTAGTCCTAACACATCCAAAGGGGATCAGATTGTAGATTAAACTAGATAAATGGATTAGAACTATTTTGGGCAAAATCAAACAAAGAGAGTTTGGAACCTCATTTTAGAAGAGACATTCCCTTTCACAATAGATGCAAAAGGGGAATATATTCTGATCCAATGAATGTTGTGAGATCTATGTAAGTAATATTTTATTAATATATAGACAGCTGACTAGTATACTAAAGCTCAGGAGCCACCATGCAAATGCCTGTATTATATTTAAATATCCACATATGAATCAGTGGAAAAATAAATAAATTATTTACACAGGAATGAAAAGTGTTTTCTCTTATCCTAATTGTAGACCAGATCAGAGACGTGTGATTCAATATGCTTTTTATCTGCTGTTTTTGCCACTATTTAGACTTATCTAGTCTTATTTTATTTTATTTGTCAACTGTTATTTGGGGGATTTTTTCTTAAAAATCTTGATACAAATTTAACTTTTTTGTTGTAGGATTTTAGATGGCAACCCTTTCAAGTGTTCCTGTGATATTATGTGGATCAAAGTATTCCAAGAGATCAAGTTTCCAAAAGCAGAAACTCAGGATTTTTACTGCATAAATGACTACAACCAGAAGATATCTCTGCTGGAAAAGCCAGTCCCATATTGTGGTAATGCACTTTTATGAAAATAATTTAATGCCTACATTTAAGGCTGTTAAAAATGGAGTACAACAGGTTAAGCTCTGCCTCTGTTTAAACTCATTAATTTTGGTAGAATCTCAGAGATATGAATGGATTTTTTTTATTTTAAAAACAGGTTTTAGTTTTGATTGGGAGATAGGTAAAGGTCATATGCAGGGTGCTTAAATTGAATCATGATTAATAGGATTTAAGTTATTGCTTGATTATCTGCCTGAAATAATTCTCTGACTTTTATAATTTTTCAAATTCATTTTGGTGATACACATATTTTCTTCCAAAATGTACTCTTGCAGTATTTCTAGTTTATCTAATGAAGTGTTGTTCCTATTATAAGAACATTGAAAACTGTTCATGTCCTGTTATTCTATAAATAAAACTGTTGGTTAAAACTGAAACAGATAATTGTAGGTTGAATGAACTCAGGATCTGTTTCCACTTCAGAAAGTTTTGCTTTAAAAAAACCATAATTTTAAACATTTCAAATATCACAAAATTTTCACTTGCATCTAGAATAAAATAAGCTATTCTCCGTCACGTAGCTCTAGAGTCCAGTATTGGGTATAACTCCGCCCTCTTATGAGCTGAGTCTGCCACTATAAAAGGTTCGCCTCTGCTGAGAGTCCCAGCTTTTCGACTCAGTTCTTGGACATATGAGCTATTGTCTCTGAGTTAATTAGCATTCCAAAAGCATTGAAAAAAAGAAAAAAGAATAATCAAGATCGAGAGAAGCTCTCAGGGCTCTGGTAGAGCTTTGCTCACGAGGACAGTGGGGATCCGCTCTCCTCCAGTTGCAGCTGCCTCAGCAAGGCACTGACACGCAGACAGTAAGTACGACCGGCCAAAACTCCGCAGAACCTCCCTCAGACTTGCTAGAGGCTAATTAACATCAGAACAGCCTCTTATGCAGCTTTTCCCTGGGCCGCATGGCTTGTAAAAACCTCCCGAGGTTGCACAAGTCTTCTGGAAGATTTATTAGGCCATAAACTATCAAAGTTGTACAATAGCTGCCCTCCTGGTCTGCAGTGATTAGGCCTGATCCCAACCAACCTCCCTTCTACTGCTGCATCGATTGGAGGGGCAATCTTCCTTCTGCGAAGATATTAATCTGGCCATTATAAATTGCCAAACAAAGGCCACAGCACGAAGCCCCAGGGATTCAAAGGTGCAACAGGGATCATCGAAGGCCTCAAGGCCCCTCACCTCATGGCTGGTGGCCATTTTATGATCGAGTTCCTCCGGGCGCCATTTTTTAGTGGGCCCCGAGGCAGTGATCCTATCTCTCTCTTAGCCATTTAGCTCGGAAAACACCATCAGGAGGAGCTGTCAGCATCTCCAGTGTTTCTTCCTTGAGCAATGGAAATAGATTGGGTTCACCCAGGACCATCAGGCATGCAGAGCATTCAGACCTCTCAAGCCCCCAAAAGGGTTATGAAAAGAAAACAACAACGAGGCCCTTCAGCCAACAGGGAAGCCGCAGCAAAGATCAAGGCCAGGGCCCTAGCCCCCAAGAAGGCCTCCAAGTCTGAACTTAGGGCAGAAAAGAGAAGACATGAGGCTTTAGAGAAACCAGTGGTCCAAAATGAGGTTCTCCCATCCCCTTGTTCTTGGATGTAGTAAAGGACCAGTGTGAGATCCCCCTGTCAGAGCCTCGCCCTTCTTCCCAGGACAAGAGGTTCTTTAATGTAGGTCCCGCCTTGGCTAATGCATTAGCTCTCCCAGCAGTAGATTCCCCGGTGGTAGGTACCCCTACGGAACTGGAGGATGTTTTACAACCGGAGGACAAAACATTGGAACAAACTCTGAAGCGCACACACCAGGCCACAGCTTGGGCCGTGAAAGCTTCCACCGCAGCCTCATTTTTTACCAGGTTGTCTATTCACTGGATGCATCAACTTCAGGACAGAGTTCTCATTGCCGATGTTAGGTCCCACCAAGACCTCAACAAAATAATAGTGGCAGACGAGTTCACCGCCGACACCACTTTAAGCTCCGCCAAATTCGCCACAAAGGCAGTGGCCTCTTCCGTGTCTGCCAGGCGCCTGCTGTGGATGCGCAACTGGCAGACCAACTCCAAGCGTAAGTGGAAGTTGGCGGCAGTCCCTTGCTCAGGAGAAAACCTCTTTGGAGCAGCCTTAGAGCCGTACATGGTAGAAACAGGAGACAAGAGAAAGGTGCTGTCTACTTCCTCCAAGGGGTCAGATTTTCGACGCACCACATACCCCGGAACGCAAACCTTCAGGCCAGTCAACACCCCTTGCTTCAGTCGCAACCAGACAACGTATCCCTCTCATTGGGAACAACAGCAGGACTGCCAACCCAAACAACAACAATTCTTGGGTAAGCGGCCCTTTCGAGGGGAAGGAGGTCATTCATTCAGGCGCTCTAAGTAACTGCATCCACTCCCTTCCTATTGGAGGTCATTTGACCTTTTTTAAATCCAGATGGGAGGAATCAACTAACGATGCCTGGGTCATCAGTACAATATCATTGGGCCTTCAACTCGAATTTCTCTCCCCCCCTCCATCGTTTTTTGTCAGGTGTCCTACCTCTTGTGACACATCTAAACGGGCCCTGATGGACTCAGCTATCCATCACCTGATGGACATCAGAGTCATAGAAAGAGTTCCATGGGATCAGTGGGGGTTGGGCTTCTACTCCCACCTCATTGTTATCCCGAAGGCCTCGGGGGTGGGTGGGTGGTGGAGAGCAATCCTTGATCTCAAGCTCTTGAACAAATTCATCCTATACAGGCATTTTAAGATGCAGACCCTACATTCTATTTTTCAGAGTGTTCGAGAGGGCAACCTCCTCTCTTCCATAGACCTCACGGAGTCTTACCTCCATATCCCAATTTGGCCTCCCCATCGCCAGTTCCTCCGTTTTTCTTATTGCAGTGAGCACTACCAATACCGGGCCCTACCATTTGGCCTTTCATCGGCACCAAGGGTTTTTACTAAGGTCTTGGCAGCATTGGCAGCCCTCCTCCGAGCCTTACCTGTGAGGGTCCAATGCTACCTGGATGATATTCTGATTCAATTTACCTCCGTCCAGATGGCCAAACGAGATCTTAAAATCATGATGCAGGTGTTGCAGGAACATGGTTTCTCCATCAAACTGATCAAGAGCCATCTTTCTCCAATGACCCGACTGTTGCACTTCAGGGTCATCATCGACACAGTCAGCTGCAAAGTCTTCCTTTCACAGGACCAACAGGACAGCATCAAAGAGTTGATCAACAGAATTCGACTAAGTCACTCCGTTCCACTCTCCCTCCTGTCCCAGTTGCTTGGGAAGATGATCTCCTGCATCGAAGTTGTGCCATGGGCATGCGTAAATGCACGCACCTTGCAGTGGTTCCTCCTCCCCTTCCAAAGAGAGGGGATCAGTCATTCTGCCCGCAGGGTGCTGCTTTCTCCATGGGTGCTTCGGTCCTTTCGATAGTGGCAGTCCCAGGCCATCACAAAGGGTCATCCCTTTATGGTGAGGGACAGAATTGTAGTGACCACAGATGCCAGCCTTCTTGGCTGGGGAGCACATACCCAGGGCCAGATGGCCCAAGCACACTGGCTGTCTTTAGACAGGTCCCTTCCCATCAATCTCCTGGAGCTCAGGGCTATTTTTCTCGCCCTGAGAAGTTTCCAGAACCTAGTGTCAGGGTCCCATGTGTTAGTCATGACAGACAATATAGCAGTCAAGGCTCATGTCAACAGGCAAGGAGGGACCAGATCCAGGGGTTTGATGCGCGAGGCAGAACATCTGGGGAGATGGGCAGAGAGGAACCTCTTGTCTCTCAGGATGGACCATATTTCAGGAGTCGACAACTCCCAGGCAGACTGGTTGAGTCGATCTCAAGTCGACCACTCGGAATGGAGACTCCATCCTCGCCTGTTGTCCCACATTTTTGGTACTGTAGAGGTGGATCTCTTTGCCACTCCCCAGAATGCACAGGTAAACAGGTTTTTTTCCAGGTTCCCAACCCAGGGAGAGGAGGGGACCAATGCACTTTGGAGCAGATGGCCCCAAGGTCTCGTCTACGCCCCCCCCTCCAATCATCCCGGCAGTCATCTGGAAGATTTTGGAGGAAAAGGCGGAGCTGATTCTGCTGGCCCCATATTGGCCCAGGAGACCCTGGTTTGTGGACCCGGTGAACCTGTCTGTTCAGAGGCCTTGGAAAATCCCGGCCTCTTGGATCTCTCTCAGTCAGGGGGCCCTTCTGCATCCGGAACCCCAATGGTTCCAGTTGACCGCTTGGCAGTTGAGTGGAAGTTGTTGAAGGAGGCCAACCTTTCAGATAGTGTAATTAACACAATACAGGCTTCACGTAAAAAGTCTACAACCTGACTTTACGATGCCACCTGGAGGAAATTCAGTGACTGGTGCTTGGAGAGAGCCCTTAACCCTTCTTCAGCATCTGTTCCGGAGATCCTTCAGTTTCTCCAGGACGGGCTGGACAAGGGCCTCACGCTTAACACCCTCCTCAGGCAGGTGGTGGCCTTAGCTTCAGTAATTTCGTGGGACAGGTACACATCCCTCTCCCACCACCCTTCGATCCATAGATTTCTGAGGGAAGCCTCAAATCTGTGACCACCCATTGTGCATAGGTATGTGCATGGGACTTGCCTAAGGTTCTCCAAGCTCTCTCGGGCCCTCCTTTTGAGCCTTTACGAATGGTAGGCCTCTGTATTTTAACTCTGAAGTTATCCTTCTTGATGGCTATTACATCAGCCAGGGGGGTGTCTGAATTAGCTGCCCTTTCAGTAAGGCCAGATTTGTGTATGTTTCATGACAACCGGGTGGTTTTGCGCCTGGACCCTTCATTTGTACAAAAAATTAACTCTTGGTTTCACAGAGCTCAAGACATTGTTCTCCCTGACTTTTGTCACAAACCCCAACATGTATTGGAACGTCAGTGGCACACATTGGACATGAAAAGGGCACTCAGGATTTATATCAAACGAACTGCACCT